TTCTATATTTTCAAAATACTTAGTTTACTCCTTATTTCACTCTATTTTGACATAGGTTCGTTCATGCTCTTTAAAAACTTTCTTAATGAAATGAAATATTTAAATATTCAATTTGAAATCGAAATCTCATTTTTGCAAGTAGGTCACTAATGTACTGAGCGCCTAAATTATAGTCTTAAGAGCCTAGAATTTTATTTTGGTTTTAAGTTTTAAAAAGAGTTTAATTTTAACACACTAGGGTTCTGCATAGCACATATATTTGTGAATTATTAAAAGAATAAGATTTTTCTCATTAAAAATTTTATTTGACTAGGCATAAGTTTGAAATATATTAAGAACTTTTGAAGTTGTAATGCGAATAATTTATAAAAACCTTCATGCACTTTGCAATATGAATTTGGGACCTTTAATCAGTTAAAATTTTTATTTATAATTGTTCTATTCCTTTGTAATGCGTCAATATGTATTCGAAATTTTTCCTATAGTTCAAGTTTTGTTTAGTCAGCCTCTTAAATTAACACACTTTTCATTTCAATATTTGAATAATAAAATATTTAATAAATATTATTTTGAAAATATAAATCGGAGCCGCCAAAATAAATATTTATATATGAAAAATTCAAATGTTCACATGTAACATGAAAATAAACAATAAAAACCAGGCTTATATCGTATACTGTTATACGACATTTTTACAATATTACTAAATAAAATTTCCTGTTCTAATGACAAAGTGACATATAATTCAATTTATTAGCTCTTCCGGATATGGAACATCACATCTCGTACACTATATTGTCAGAATTATACAAAAAAAAAAACCCATAATTTATATACAATATATATACACATATGCCCATGTATATATTCCCTCGCATCTTTACCGTATATAACAAAATGTTAATTCATACATGTAAGTCTATATTAAAAGCGTTGTACATTATAAGCGTTGGCTGCACTTCAAGTCAATTTAAGAAAATTAAGCGCGTTCCAATAACTCATATTAAATTTTTTATTATTATTATGTTGTTTTAAATAAATGTAGCACAGTACCTATATGAATATTATTATAATATATAATATGTATATATATATACATACTTGTTTAGCGCAACTAAATATTTTATAGAATATTGTGAGCGAATGAAATTTAATAGCTAGTTTAAAATTTTAAAATTGATTTTATGAAAATTTTTGCTCATTTTCTAAAAATGCAAGTATAACAGTTCTATGAGTATACAGTTTTAAATTAAAGAGTGAGAAATTTCTTTCATTATTTTTATTGCTTGTGACTTGCAAATTTAACAAAGATGCAAGTTTTTAAAAAAAAAACTTAAACGTAAATAATAAAGCCCGCCGGGGTTGGTGTTTGTTTTGAATTATCCATTTTAATATGTCTTGAAGTTTCTTATTTTTGCAGTATATAGGTGTGTTTGTATATAAGTTACGTATGATATGCTTAAGTAATTGGACAGGAAAACAATTTGTCTGCAATTGAAGATCGCATTTTAATTTTATGAAGAAGAAAAATTAATTTTTAAAAAGTGTTTTTTTTTTTTTCATTTACGATATTAAAACGGTGCTCAGAATGTTTTAGAGAGGTGTAGTGGAAGGAGTGGGTAGAAATTAATTTTTAATTATTTTATAATTTAAGATTTTCTTATAGTAGCATATCCTGTGGAATGGACTAAAATTTTGTCCTATAAGTATATTGGAAATTTATTCTTTAACACTAATTTAATTTCGAATTTTGGAATAAAAAATTTGAGTTAAAGCAGCATTCTTCAACTTTAAGATATCTATGCTAGTTTCCTGCTCTGGGCGAGACCCCACATTTATCAGAAATTCTCAAATGAAATGGTCGAAATTTCAATTCCAAACAAGTAAAAAAAACCGACTGTGTCATACCCTGCACGTTTGACTATCTGAATATAAAAATTTTTTTTGAAATATTTAAAATTAAATTTTGGAGTTGTATGACCGACTATCCTAACCTGTGAAGCCATTCCCAAAATTTTCTGGATTATAATTGAATACACAACTTCCAAATTTAAATTTGTATGGCAGCTGCCCAATCCGTTATTCGAGTTGGTTCAATTGCAACAGGACCCATTCTTGGTAGAAAACAAATAATTTTACGGACGGAGTGCTCTGATTAAACCAACGCAACAATTTTATGCTGAATGTTAATATATAAATCACACCTCAGGCGATGTCTCGGGAGACATAGGTCAACTATAATCGTAGGCTGAATTACGGCCTGGTGATCACGGTGTAGTATTAGCAAAACGGCACATTTGTGCTAATCGGTATAATTGAGCTGCCACATCGTTCACGTCAACAAGACAAAAGATGTATTATGGGATTTCTGAATGTCATTAATGTGATTTAATAAAATTTACCCAAAAGAAATTGGAAATCAAATTGCTCAAAAATTACTGTAATATGAAATTATTTTTCTCTCACAATCTTCAGGATATTATGAAGGGGCTTATAAGATGTCCAAATTATGAATATACCTTCGTCTTAAAATTGATAATTTTAGTCTAAGAAAAAAATGCATTTAAATTCAACTTGTATGTATGAACATGTATGTTTGTATTCACAATTTTATTTCAATTGATATTTCGTTCTTTATATACATTGTATATTATTGACAGATATAGGTGGGTGGGGGTTTTAAACTACACCTACAAAATTTCACACAAAAAAAAACTCCTCTTTAGAATGCACTTTTATTTTTTTTTTGTTATTATTTTCAAATTTTTTTTTTTTGTTCTTTTTCATTTCATCTTAAAATTCCAATATAAAAATCACCAATAATTTAATCTACAACAACAACAACTTTAGAACTGATCAAAGAGCTATTTATTGTAAATTTTTGTATATAAAGTAGAAAAACGAAAAAAAAAATATCAACAAATTACATTTGAAAATATGAGAGAAATGAAAATTGAAACGAGAGCAGAAAAATAGAGAGCACGAGAGATGAAATGAGAAAAAAATAGAAAAATAAAAAATATAAAAAAGAACAACAGAAATGATTTGTGTGACCCATGTCCGGTACCGGAAGGTTTCAATTGAATCATTTCAGTTTATATTATAAACTAGCTACCTACATACCTACCTACCCTATATATATATGTATATACTGGGTGTATATATTAATTTTTTGTTATTGTTTATTCTATATTTTGTATACTATTTATTCGTTTATTGCATAATCTACATTTTACATATCTATTTCGATAATACAGTTAAGTACCTATATGTATATACAGTGAGTACAATATTGTGTATTAGAAAAGCAAACAAGAACCCATCATTACAATATTCTATAGTATTCTTTATTGAATAGTGCACCATAAAGTCTGAGTTAAACAAAATTTCATATTTTTGTTTCATTTTGTTTACTTGTTGTTGGTGTTATTTGTGTATACGAGTATAACATGTATAACACATTTTAGTTTTATTTAAAAATATATTTTTAAACTATCACTTTATAGTCACTTATATTGCAATTTGAATTCAGTTTTCGTTCTAAATTCGTGTACATACTTGCATATATATTTTCTGTATATATATACGTATATACCTTTAATATAAATGTATATGTAGATGAATTTGTGTGTCAATAATAGAAACAAAATAACAATTTTTATGTTTCTCTAAAATCATTTCGTATACATGCAGTGCAGACACCAAAAAAAAAAACGGAGATACAAAAAAATTTTATTTATTTTTATTGTTTTGTTTTGAAAATTAAAATCGGGTATTAAAAAAAAAAATTAGTATCGCCTAGTAAACCAATACGTGTAATTCATTACAAAAAAAAAAAAAAAGCAAAATAAGAAAAATTAAAAAATTAACAAAAAAATTTTTAATTGTGAATTTGTGAATTTTCATAAAATTTTCCCATTGAGGGAAAATTCCCATGTACTCATTTTTGTGGTGAATAAAAATTTATTCAAGATTTTAGAAAATTTTGTTCAAAATTTTAAAAAGTAATTATGGGACTAGTGCAGTTATTGAATTTCCAAAATTAATTTTATAAAAATCAACTGTTATACTTAAGGAATTTTTAAAAATTTCTCATATACTTTAAATCCTGTATGGGAGAAAAACAAAATATTTATGTATGAAATTTGTTTAACTAAATTATGTAATATTAAATTCGCGTGCCGCTAAACCACTTAACTGTAATAAAATTATATATAACATCGTGAAATGAAGAAAAAAAATTGTTTCGGGAGAAACCCTTTATACATTATACAAAAAACAAAATAAAGCAAAACAAAAAATAAAAATTTTAAGCAACATTTTTTTACAATGTTGGTTATTTTCCGGTTCCGTTTGACCACTTATAAAAATATGTACTAGAAATTCAATTTTATACTATTATACAATATAATATATAATATTAATGTGTTATATTGGGAATAAAATCAGATTTTCAAAACAATATTTTCAATTAAGTTGTTAAAAAGTGTGCTGTATACATTTTGTGAAATATATTTAAATATACTGTTATACAGATTGCTATATTCAATTCTAAATTAAATATTGTATAAAGTTCCTTAAAATTATAAGTATAACAATTTGTTACCTTTAATATTAAATAATTTTGCGATTTTTTTTTTGGTTTTCATTAATGATTATGTAAAATATAAAATAAACTGCAATTTAAAATCCAAAGTTTCTTTTCCATTATAATTCGGATTCAAATCGGTCAGGTTCGTTCAAGTTGAATGTATAACAGTTGAAAAACATGTAAAAGTGAAATGTATAATTAAGAAACTATTATAATAAGAAGTTATTCTTTAATATAATTTTCAATAATTTTGAAAACGGAAGAAAATTTTCATGTTAATTGAAAAAAGGATAACGAAGAAGGGAAACAAAATAATCTTATTTTTTAAATATAAAAAAATAATTTTAATAATAATTGTTAAGAGATAGATAATATGGAAAAATTATTTGTGGTATTTAAAAAGATTATATTAAAAATATTAATTGTAATAATGAGGAAAACAACAAATTTTTTAAATACTAATAATAATGCAAATGGAAATGATTTTTGTAATTTTGATGTTTTTTCAAATGGAAATCGGTAATTTTCATTCAATATTATTAGAAAATTAAAAAAAATATATTTAATTATAAAGCTGGAGACATTTATTAAGACAATTATATCTCTGTTGATTAGATTTAAATAGCGTTAAATTCCAAATACAATTCAAATAAACAATATTGTATAACACAAATGAGGAAAAAACTAGCATATACAATGCATCCGCCGTTATGCATTTTCTTAATCTAGTTAAAATTGAAACTCATGATGTGATCCTAGTGACAATATGTTGCACTTATGGTGATTCCACTTCGATCTATTGCCAAGAACTGTTTGTAATCTGAAAATTCTGTTCAGCCACATAGAATTTTTTCGGGCCATTGTTTTTTTGTCAAAATATAACAATATCTTAGTCTTGCTCGCATTTAAGTTCAATCTAGTGATTGTGAAGAAAAAGTTTTCAGTAATTGAAAATAATCCCTATGTCACTATTCGAAAAACTTTAATACTGCATTATCAGCAAGTAACTGCAGCTTACTCTTAAAGTTTAGTGTTTTAATATCATCTAAATAAATTTTAAAGAAATCTGGTTCAATAATAGAACCCCGTGGCACTCGCCTTTCTTAATTATTCTAGAATCATTTGGAGAATTAAATTGCTTTAGTTTTAGCGTCCTGTCACTTATGTGCGACTTAAAAAAATATATATATTATTATTCGAAAAAGTAAAATGTTTTAGTTTTAGTAGTAGAATTCCGTGGTCTATACAATCAAAAGGCTCTTGTAAATCTAAATATGTGCATTCAACAAAAACCTGTTGTTGTCTAAGGTATTTGGAAGAATATAAGTCCAACTAAGCCACGCCACAGTCAAGTTTGGAATACAATAATAAATTTTTACAATTTTTTCAGTTTTATCTTGTGGTACGTATACAGCCGTTTCGGGTGGTGGGTACAGAATCTAATAGGCTACAAATTTCTCACAACAAAATTTTAAAAATTATATTTGGCCTCCCTATTAGGTATAGCACAATCAACTTATATTATTCCAATTTTATTTTGCCTTTAACTAGTAGATATAATTTACAGCAGCTTTTATTTGTGTTTAAAGTGCTTGAAGCGTTGGGCCATTCCATTTTCTCTCCTATCCAGCGCTTCTACCCCAATTTTCACACTAGATTTAAAACAATGTTCATATTCGTAGAGTTGACAATACTCTCTCTTCTCAACAAGTTTCGATTGCTGGTTCAAGGTTGTTTAATAGATCATCGGGGGAATAATTGAAGTCTATTCAGAGTTTGGTTCTTTTTAAGAAAAAAATTTAGATCTTTCAACTTGTCGCCAAATTACTTAAATTTTTTTTGAGGCAGAAAACAGAGGCAGATGATGATGCTGTAAAAAACTACCTTTGTACCAACCACAATTCCAAATTTCTTCAATTTTCATCACATATAATTTGGTATCATCTTTAAATGTACATACAAGCGTACAAAATAAGAAAATATTCTTTAATCAAAAATTTACGATATTTATTCTATATACTAAACCATTATATTTTTACGAATTTTACAAATTATTAAATCAATTTTTATATATGATCTACTCAAACACAAACATAAATAATAAATATTTTGTAAGGATATACAAATATTTACTGTTATCTACATGATATCATTTAAAATGTGATATCTAATATTTTGTAATGCGTTAACAAGGTCTATTAAGTGGGTGGTGAATATTATCGTATATCGTGCTATATTTTATATTTTTTATGGCGTGGCTTTTTCTTTATTTTTAATTTTTATATAGAATTTTTTTTCATTCATAACTTTTTTTTTTCTATTTTTTTTATACACTAAACGTCTAGGATAGATTTTGTCTTTGGATAAGCATTTCCCCAAAAATACTTTTTTCTATATAAATAAATGAATAATAAATATTGAGTAGAGTGTTAGAAAATGGATGGTGTAATACTGTGTGTACCTTTTATATTTTCTAATATGGAAGGGGTGATGAAGAAATCGCTGATATAGATTTAACGATTATGATTTATTTAAATGAGTTTTACAAACATTCTTATAATATTATAGGATAAGTAAGTTAAGAGTAAACTTTGATTTTTTAATACGATATTATAGGAATTGTATTTACCAAAGATATAAGAAGTTATATGAGACGAAAATTGCTTAGGCCGTGCATCAGTATTATCATGCAAATTAATATTGCACAACCTTAGTCAAAGCAATCATTATTTAGACGCACAATATGCGTCAACCAAATTACCTAGCCAAATCGTCATCGCTTGATAATGAACGAAAAGGAAATAGTGGAGCATTAGTAACGGTTAGAGTTTATTGTTATGAGAAACACAGAAAATTTTTATTGCATCGGCAATAATTATCGAACAAGAGCTCAAAAGTTTGCAAGTCTAACAATAATAGCTTTTCTTCATACGGCGACAACCTTAGAGGATCGGACAATGCGAAACAGAGAAATCTCCTCTCAATAGATTCGGTTTCAGAAATATTAGTAGAATAGTAAGACACTGAAACCTGATATTAATTTAGAATTCGCCCTATTTATAATCGAGTTATCAAAGACATGAACCATAAATTGAGTGACTTTATATATCGTCTGTTGAGAAATAAAACAGTGTATAACCGGTATACGTTGTATACGTTATACACAGTTTCATTTCTCAATAGACGATATACACTTCTCAGGATAAAGCTATAATTGTATTGTCTCTGGAACACTTCTCAAGTAGATTAAAGTATGGTCTTATATTTTCACTGTGCAATATAAGCTACAGCTGATTATTTTGTATGAGGTTTTGGAAATTTTTCGAGTATGTGTAAATTTTTTTGATGTAAGGTTGATGCCTTTGATAATTTCGAATATCTTCGGGTAATTCATTTATTATCCAGAAAGTTAACGCTAATATACAATTTCTCTCGGGATTTTTAATCTTCCTAAAATCAATACACCTAGATTATTTATATTTCATCCACTTACCACCACACATATAGGAATTTCTTTTTAAAATGCAAAAACTTCTATATTTTACTTTTTACGTTATATTTATGTTCCTAAAAGTATGCAAATTTTCTGTAAAGTGATTATAATAGTTTCTTTTCCATAATTTTCAATACTGTTAACTTTCTATATATAACACTTAATAAGTCCTATGCATTAGTTATTAAAAATTCTAGTTTAAAGCTCAAAAATACCACTTAAAAGGGAACGATTTATGCATTTTTATATTGTGTCTTCTTTACATACCTTATTAATATTTCAATACTATACAAGTATAACACTGTCAAATATATGAAAATTATTTAAAAATTCTAAATCTAGATATTATAAATTTAAATATTAAATAGTAAAAACTGAAATAGAAGCAAAAAAAAAATTGCGTGAATAGTGAAGCGTTTCATGTCCTTTAAATTACGTACACATTCATTCATTTTTGAATTCATGTAGGAGTTTTGTTATATCTGCGTGTATATCTATGGCATATTATAATCTAACTGTTATACGATATTCTAAAAATCCTTTAAATATAGTCAACTAGATTTAATATCCAGCCATATAGATAGAGAGAAGGCGATATAGAATTCAATTTTTTTTTTTTCGAATTTTAGTTTTTTTCTTTAAAGCATAAATCAAAACGTATACTACTTCCGGCATTTGTACATAAAAAAAAATAAAACAGAAATAAAAAACTCGTTTTTGCTTTTCTATTAAAAAAAAAAATTTGAATATTCATTTTATATATGAACCAAAAATTTGTTTAAAAATGAAGAATTATCGTCGTTTCTGTTGAAATTTTTTTTATACATGTGTATATTGAGGTACATGCGATATACATACATACGATTACCCTCAACTAGAACTCTCGGCAACTCCATTCAAAATATAGACACTATCAAAAGCAAAAAAAAAAATATAGAAATGAAAAGAGAACAAATTTGTGTTAAAGTTTTTATTCTGTGGGTATGTGTGGGTAATTTTTATTGTTGTTGTTTTTCATAAATTTTCCATATAATTTTCATATAGATTTAAAGTACATATATTTTTTTTCTATTTTCAAATTAATAATATACGAGTAATATTAGACGTGTGTAAATTCAAAAATACCTACATGGTGCTTTTCTGTATTAAAGTTACTCTGTTGAATTCAAAAGTAAAAATAAATTAATCTAGTATATGAAGGAATGAATTATTGAGGTTGATATAACAATTAAAATAGTGGCGACTTATTGGAATATTTATGACCAATAAGAAAATATCACTTCATAAATTGATTAAAATTCGATTAATTTGACAATTCTATTCTATCCTATTTATTCTATTATTATTTATTCAAAGAAAATTTTTGCATACACTGGTGCTGATCTCAGCATACTGATAAGCGTACAGATGGGATATTGCCTCTTTCTGAAAATTGCAAGAGGCCGCTACGAAAATGTCGAAATATTGTGAAGGTGGATTATGTGAAATTGTTGCCCGCTCTGAGTACTGAGCCTAACCCTACAGGACCCAATTGCTATTTACCGTTCTGGTGAACTACAGCACTTGTGAAATTTACAAAGTGAACTCCAGCACTCTCAACCTACTATGGTGACCTTTAAGTCTACAGTGACCCGACAATATCTCGGTGAGAATTCTCAACTAATTCTTACCCATCCCTATAATCTTCTTAAATCGCTTCTAGTTATAATATCAGAGAAATTCCTTGGTTTTTATGCATCGCTGGAATCCAACGCTTTGACTGTTACCGATACGTCAAATTTATTGTAAATTAAAATTTTTAAAGGTTCATTTAGAAATTGTCATTGATTAAAGAGAATAAATTTACCCACTGCAATTACCCCGTTATTGACTTTATTCTAATTTTGTTTATGAAACACTGTGTAAGTTCCACAAAAATATTATAACGAAATAGAAAAAAAAATCAAACTTTTAAAAAAATAATAATAATACGTAAGGATTATAATATGGAGTAATCATAGAAAATATCTAGGATAATAATAAAAGGAAACGCATTTACTTATTATATATTCATAATAAATTCACAGATATATATACATACATATACGTATACTTGTACTAATTTAACTAAAACTCAATACTCACATGATATAATACGTACTCGTATTTGTGTACAAAACGCTCATATATACAATTAAACTCATATATTTGTATGATTTATTAAATTTATAGACATAGATTTATGCTAATTATGTACATAATTATATACGTACATTTTTATCTACTTGATATATGCGTAAAAAATATTTTATTTTATTAACATTCCAAAAATATAATTTTATAAGTATTCTAGCCTTAGTTAGATAGAATGTGTATAGAATTTATAATTATACTATTGTAAATTATATTGCATACTGACAGGCGAAAATTTTCTATTCGTATTTTATTATCTCTCTCCGAAAATAATAATAAAGAGAATTTATTAATGTTTTTTTTTTTGAATATATTTAAAATTTTTGAAATTTTTAAGTTTTCATATACATAAGAGCACATATATATTTATACAGTTATGTACGTGTAGATTTATATTACCTGAAAATTAAAATAGAAAATGTAAAAGTTATTTTTATCTCTACAACGAGAATAATAAATTGTTTTTCGCATATATTACGAAAATATTATGACAGTGGCTACAATTTTAAAAATTTTTAAAATTTATTATAGTTGACTTATATGCTTTTATTATTTATGGTACAAAAGAATTTTAATGAATAATGGGAGCTAAAGAGTACTTGTATTGTATAATTACTAAAAATATTATTGTGTATTAAATTAGAAGGACCTTATTGAAATTATTCAATTGGGAGCGGAAAATATTATTTTTAATTCATACAGTAATTTTGTGAAGGAGTATAACAATAAATTCACATATTTTTAAAAATTGGAAGTAGTATAGATTACCTTCTGTTCCCTTGGACACTATACAAAATGCAAGGATACTACTTCACTACTAAACCTTCTTATGGCTGCCATAGCTGCCAAATTATGGAGTAATAAATTATTACTGCAACTTGTATATTGAGGTACTGTGATGAGAAAGCGAACCCACCTAAATAAAACCGAATTATTGAGGCCGTTAACTCTAGCTACTCTAGTTATACTTAAATTATAAAAAAATTGTTCTTAAGATTTTAATAATATTACTAAAATTTAATTTCTTCTTTACTTCCCTTTTACAAAACCCTTCGCAAATGAATAAAACAAATAGTTTTAAGTGGACATCACCAACTGATTTGGCAGCAATGTATGAAAGTTCATGTTCATATCAAACAGCTTTGGATTTGAAACGTATTTCACCACCAAATGCTGCAACAGCCCATCATATTGTTAAAACCGAAGATTGTTTAGGTTTAGTTGGACAATGTTCACCACCAGATTGGAGTTCATATCGTTTTCATCAATCGACATTCGAACAATTAAAACAGAGTGTTGAAAAAGCAAAAGCAGCATTACAAGATCGTACAACATTTTTTGGTACATCGAGTGCATTTAGGTATAAATATAAAATTATTAAAAAAAAAAAAAATAAAATAAATATTTATTTTTATTATTTTATAGTGATATATATGGAGCACCTAGGCTAACTGATACATTAGAATCAGTAACAAATTTAAATTCAAGTTCAGGTAACGGTAGTGGTGGTGGAAGTGGTGGTGGTGGCGGTGGTGGTGGTGGTAATAGTGGTCATAGTAATAATAATCATAATAGTTCAAATAATAATAATAATAATAATAATGGTAATAATGGAAATAATTGTACATCAAATGGACAAAATAGTAATGGTACTGGTAATGGTTCAGGTGGTAGTAGCAATGGTAATATTAATTCATCATCTGGTGTATCATCTAGTTTAAGTATTAATGGAAATTGTATAACAACAATTTCTGGTGGAACAACATTACAACGATATCGTGTTGATACGCTGCCAACATCACAGGTTTCATCAAATAATTCATTATCATCATCATCGGCGGTAGCAGCCGCGCTAACAACATCATTAGATAATGTGATTGAAAATAAAGGAAGAAGTAAGTATAAAAAAAAAATTTATTTAGTTAATTATTATATACAAAAATTTATTAGTGGATATTGTTTCAATTTAGTAGTTATTTGATAACTTATTTGAACCCTGCACTTTTTAAATATAATTTAATGTAAATGATGGCTATGACTACGTTTCAGGTTGTCCATTCGAAGAGTCCAATTTTGATTTACTTCTTCCTACGTTTTGGTCAGAATATTGCAGCAAATAACAAATAATAAACCTCGTCATTTTATACATTTTTTTTTGTTACAAAAGTCAATTTCTGGTAAGGCCAATTAACCGAAAATTCGACTCAGTAATAGGTGTCTCTCATTTTGTTCCTTTGAAGACCATGAGAGTTGGGTAAAATCTTAAAGGCATTGTAGTCATTATCGTTGTGTCGCCGTTCTCAGTGAAAGCAAATTGTAGTGTTGATCAATTCAATCATTCAGTGTAATGTGTAAAATTTCGGAATGAAGATCAACAATTTGTTATAAATACCCTGTAAAAGGTGTTCAGTTGTCAATCTCTATATTATGATCACGAAAATGTGATTAGGCAATACAAGTTTATCGATTATGATGCAATTTTTTATTGTAATTATAATTAATTTCAAGTCTCTTCTAGTTCAATAATTGTTGTTTTCCAATAACCCTCCAGAACACTTCTTTTTTATATTCCCATAGAACATTTTCTTGATGCTATTAATTTGTTTATTTACGAATGACACAAAATAATAATTTATAATTCTTTTGTAATACTACAAGTATATTATCGCATTATAAACTTGAACACGGCTCAACGTAAAATTACAATAAGCGCACGTATACAAGCACAATATTTATTATTGTCCTTTTAAAAGAAGTATAAATTACAATATACTTGAAAATAATAATAAAATATAATATTATTTATAATAATATTTTATTATTATTCTATTATAATATTTTAAAAATCACAGTAAATGAAAAAACGTGAAGTGTGTTTGCAATCACGCCAATTAAACAATTTTTTTCTCTCTCTTTTTTTTAAGAATTAAACCACCAACCACTCCACCCCTTCAATATTATTAAACAAGTTTTTGTTTTTTTTTTTAAATAATTCATATCTCAACAAGCAACTTCTTTTCTGGTCCTCTAAAATTTCTATTTATATATATAATCAATATTATAATCATTATTGATAGCACCCGATCACACCACCACCACCAACATTGACTATATACACACAATAATAATATGTTGATGAAAGGAAGTAAAATGGTATATAGGGGAGGTTAAATTAGGGTTAAAAAAAATTTTTTCTTTTCTGATATTTTATTTATTTTCTGTTGTTGGTTGTTACTTCCGACAAGGATACACGGTTATAGTCTATAACTAATGCTATCAGTATATTTTTAAGGATGAGAATTAGGGTATTGCATTTACTACTCTATATACTCGTATACATATACTTTAATTCACAATAGTTTATGTAGAATAGAATATTGCGAGTTATGATTATCACAATTGTTCGGATTTTGGGTTGCAAAACGTGTGACTTAAAATTGTTTTGCAAAAAAAAAAAAACAAAAACTTGATAATGATGACGATTCCCTTTTGTTTGTTTGTTTTTGATTTAATTCAATTAGGGGGAAAACGGAAGTCAAAGGAAGCAGGGAGAAAAAAACACATAGTGTATATGCAAACTTAAAGAAGTGTGCATTTTTTGAAAGAGCATGTAAAATTTTTTGTTGTATATAAAAATATTTTTTTAACCGAGATGAAATATTTTTGGCTGATTTGTTCTAATTTTTTTTTTTCGAATAATTTTTCTCAAATTCGAGCGTATCTGTGACAAATTTTTTTTTAATACTATATGGGATGTGATTTAATTGAAATGTTGTTTTTGAAAAATAAATTAAAAGTAATTGGAAATTAATCCTATTTAATATACCGAGTGAGTAAAAAATGAGATTGTAGATTATTAAAGATAGATGTAAGACAGCAAAGGAAATTCTGCCCTTCAACCACAGAACCCAGCCGTGGTTTCTTTTAGTCATCCCATATATCCCATTTATACTTCTCCGGTCCCAAGTAAGTATTCGAAGATATCGCTCAGGAAATTCGATGAGACTTCCTTAACACTGAAAGAGCCCCGTCTAAAACAATATACGCCTCCTGACCGCCAGAACAGGACACTCACAAAGAATATGTATGGCCGTCCTTCCAGCGTTCCTGCAGAATGTACACTGCATATTACTGCATATTAACTTCTTTATCTGTTTAATTTATATTTGCCTCTGACAGATGAACATGAATGTTAAGGATGATTCTCTTAAATTAGAAGGAGAATGTACAGTTTTCTCTTCAATCCGAAGGATTTTCATGTAAAATAAACTTCCATTTACTTTTCAATATTTTAAATAGAGAGAAACCTCACGTCATCAATTTTCTTAATTAAATAAAAAAACTGTCTTAATTTTAGAAAAGAAAAAGAAAGGAATTTTTTTCTGATTTCTCACTTCCGGTATGTCAAAAAATTTAAATTGTAAAGGATTTATTTTTTTCCTTCGAATAAAAAACAAAAAAAAAAAATGCAACAAAAATTATTTTTCTATTATTGCAAATTTTAATGAGAATTTTTTTTTTTCTTTCATGTCTCAATTTTTTTAAATTTTTATTTCTCATTTGTTTTCACTCTTTTTACTTTCTGCATACTGTTTTTAAATCGAAGTTCGGTAGAGCACGCGATGACTGCATGACTAATGAGCCGAGACAAATTTTTCATAAAAAAAAATTCAATAAGAAGAAAAGAAAGAGAGGGAAAGAGAGGAAAATTAAAAAAAAAAAATAAAAAATTATTTTGTTTTTCTTAAGAATTCATGTTGTCCACCTGTCAACTTTCTATTTAGCTTATAATAATTTAAATGTCCCAAATTTAATACTTTTGAAAAAAAGAAAATTTTTATTTATAAAATTTTATAGGTAAAAAAGAGAGGGAAGGACAGAAAAGGAAGAAAATATTTTGTTTAAATTTTTTTATTTATTATTGTATTTTTATTATTTTTTTCTTATACAATTTTATTTTGTGTATTTTTGGTCAATGGGCAGAAAGCCCAGACATTTTAATTTTTTAAAGATTTTGTAGTTATATTTTATGTTTTTTTTCTTCAATTTCTTGTCATTTTATTATTTTGTAGAAATTGAAATCGAAAAAATATTAAATAAAATGAAATTACTATACTCTTTACTCTCGCCTATATACGTCATCATGTGCTGGTAATAAATTTTAGAATATAGTGAAAAATATAGTGGAACAAGTCCTGGAATAGTTTGAGAAAAATAATGACTACTTCATTAAATAGTTCTAAATTGCCAACTATATCGGGGGTCACTTTAAAAACAGGTGCTAATTGATACGGAACAATTAAAATCCTAACTAAGCAACACTAATGCAGTATAAGTACCTGACCATTGGTGCAGTGGTTATGGCACCGGTCCTTTAACCGAAGGGTCTCGGGTTCAAACCCTGGTTAGGTCGCTATAAAAATTATATTCAATATTATTATAACTTAATATACAATACTAATAAATATTATACAAGTAATTTTCAAATATTCGATATTAAACAAACTAAGAAAAATAAACAGTAAATATTAATAACCTCAAATAATTAATATAAATAATAACGCTATGAAACTGGTGCATGAGAAATCATGCACTAGCCCTATGCTCCTTCTAGGAGTGAATAAGAAAAAAAAATATTACTCAGAACGTTATTCCCTTCATTATTAGGAACAAATTTTTGAATTTCGCCCAATATCGGTCGCCATTACAAAAAAAAAATTCTGGAAGGGGAACAATTAAAATCCTATTTTTAATACTGCTCTAATAATATTTTAGGAGCGTATTGTATTTATATGGAATTCCATCATGATATTACCCTATACCCCGTATCGGGCGCCATTAATTTTTTTTTTTAAAGGTGTACCATTAAGTTCCTAACTAGAATGCTACACTTAGTCTGCCCTCGGAGTATAATATAATAATATTAATTATGATATTAATCGAACCCAGGTCGGGCGCCATCAAGTAAGAAATTTTTAAAAACCAGTCTATTCAAAATAATGTGATTAATTTAATACGATTCAGATATTAACGTTGGTTTAATATTTTATTAAATTTTTTCAAATATTTTTTATTAACCGGTTTTTACGTTTCCTTGTAAATTTTGAATTAAAGCATTAAAGTTTCGATACAGAGTTCAAGAGCCGATGAAGAGGTCAATATTTAATAAAACATTAAAAAGTCAAACAGACAGACAATTTTTAAAAAACAAGCTAGTAAAATTTGCTCAAGATTTTGTTTAATAAATTTGGGTACAACCAAAATTTGCTTTACTTTCGATTCTTGTTAACAAAAAAACAAACTGCTTTTTTTATTTGTATTTTTCATCTATAAACGTGCAAATTATATTTAGTGTGATAAAGGTGCGACATAGAGTCAAAATAACGCGACATTTTAAAACTGTTAATAAAATTAATGGAGAAATAATCGCGGGTGAAAATACACGAAATAAAATATTTCGTCTGATTTTTTTCTTCTCTTATTTTTTCTCACTAAAATTATTAAGAAATAAATAAATTTTTGGTGGACAAAAGGAGCAGTATATTATGCATATTCAAATAAAATACCATATTATATATAAAAAAGGATATGTGAGGATATGGAGATTTTCCTAAAATATAAAAAAAAAATAATAAGAAATTATGAAACCAAAGGCATTTTGCCAAAAAAAAAAAGCCAAAAATTAATAAATAAAAATTTGCCGCTTTCTTTTTATTATTATTATTTTTTTTTTAATTTTGTATTTGAGGTCCTTTTTTTTGGTGTATTTTAAGCTATTTATATGGTTTTTGTCCTTTTAGCCGCTATTATTTGCTTATATGTTTTATACCAAAAACCGAAAACAGGAAGTTCAAAATTTGTTTTGGTTTCACGAGTTTTTTGTTTTTTTTTTTTTTGCTATTTTTTTTTTTCGGGTATTAATATTATTATAAAGGATTTATAATATCCTTTACATTATTATTTTATAGGTTTTTATACATAAATAAATTTTAATAAATATTTAAAGCTTTTCCTTTTCCTTATAGCTATTATAGAAAAATTACAAATGGTTCAGGTCTCTTTAATAATGTATGAGCTACTATTTACAAAAAAAAAAAGTCTATAAATGTCATATTTTGTCAAAAATGTTGACATATTATTGAAATTTTTTTATATTTAAATCGAATAATAAAAAAAATTGCAATTTATTTAAATTTGAATAATGTTTAATCAAATTATGTCAAAATTCTTGGTATTATTCAGGAACTCTATTAAAAATATTATTCGTTTTTATTGTGTAGAAATCTGGGGAAAAAAATTTCCCTAGTTATTGGACTCTGTTAGTCTTACGTATTAAACAATAGAAACACAGGTGAATAAAATTGTTTTAATAAATTTGATGCTGATATGGAAGACCTAAGAAAAGCAAGAAGGTCAACTCTTTCCAATAATGTAGAACACTCCCGATTAGATTTGTTTAGATTAGATTTGTAGTTTGACAGGGGCCATACTTAGATCAGGTTACTGCGCATCCGTAAACCCTTATTGTAGCATCATACTTTTTTTATGAGCACCAACCAGGGTGGTTTTTGTAATGGCGCCCGATATAATCCTCACGTGATTACAGACTCGTTTAAGTGCCGCCTCCCACAAATCCGAGGGAGTAACCTCATATTCCCCTCAAGTGAATCAATCGCTTCCTGGCCAATGCTTCATCGGAACAGAGAATATGTTAAGTAGTCTCATCTTCATTATGGCAAAATCCACACAAATGGTTCCCAAATTATTCTAATTTGTTCAAGTGATAACCTATATGAAAACACTATCAGTTGCATCAGCTTTAAAATAATGGTTGAAAGAAATATTCATACATGTCTTGTGATTAATGAATTCACAAATTTTATGTGAATAGTGTATAAAGTGCAATCCTCAATATTTGAATTAATTAAGTCAGATTTTACTTTTATATGAAAGGATTTCTTTAAAAAACGGTTTGTAGTCTGGTTTAAACCTACCCTTCGTAGTTGAAAATGACCGAATAATGAGTCGCATTTCTATTGTTGTAATTGTGTACAACTAAATTTCAACCAACAAGTTATCTACATATATGAATGTTGTACCCTTAGATCAAAGGATTGAAGGCTACTAACGTAGCAAAAGAAAAGACCTGGAACAAGAGAGCTTTACCCTAAATCATCTTAGACGATTATATGGTTATTTCATATTCATTAAAACTATTATCTGAGCATTGGGAATATTTTTTAGAGAACTACGAGTATATAAGAAGATCACTGACTATACCAGTATATGAAATGACCAAACATTCAAACTTCAATTTCGTTTTCTTTAAAAAAAAAAAAAACTAAACCCCAAACCAATCGCTTTTCTATTGAAATTATTTGTAATAATTGCATGATAATCCAATTTATCTATACACAATTCATCTTTTATAACATTAAATGAATAATAGAAATGGAGACGTCCCATTTTAATGAGTTCATACATTTTATATATACGTATATAGTGCGCATATCAACATTTGTACATCTTTATTTATTATTTTAAATTTGTTTCGGCACACGCCTTTTCCATCCTTTTTATGTTCTTTTCTAAAAAAAAAAGGATATAGCGATAAGTTTTTTGTTGTCGAATATATTTTATGCTGTTTTTGTTTTGTCTATTTTTTTCTAATAAACATTTTAGATTTTATTTCATTATTTTGGTAAGGAACCCTTATACAAATATTTTGGGAAGGTCTACATTGTATTTTGAAAATCCCATAATTATTTTGTTACATTTTCTATTGTCATTTAGTTTTAATATGCGTGAAATAGAGTGCTAACGAAAAATAACAGAAACAGTTGAGTTAGAGTCTAAACTAGATTTTGGGCAGAGCCTACACCACATCAAATCATTTGAGCGTTTAATTGCTTATAAATCCTCCGACAGGCGGGCACTTCATACGATTTGATTAAACTACCGCAACATCACCTCTCACTCTTTAGTTAAATTAGGTTTAGGCATAGCCTATATCACACGAAATTACTTCAGCGTTTGATTGCTTAAAAAACCTCATGATGTGATTTGATGTAATATCACTTTTCACTCTTTTGAGTGCAAGTTCGCAATAGTCTATATGTGCAAGAACTACTTGTGACCTATAATGCGTTTTAATAAAAAGGTCGTTTTGTCTCTTTCATAGAAGGATCTCCATCAATAGTCTGTAGGTAATCCTAGTTTGTGTAAATGATAATCAAGCTTGCAGGGTGCAGATGTTAAAAGCCTAGTCGTCATTCTTTTAAGTGTCTCTTTTTTGGGACCACAACAGCTGAGATTTCCTTCTTTAAAAAGGTTTTAGTGCAAAAAAAGAAGGGATGTTTTATAAATCTAATTATTTGGATTTTGTACAGTCTGTTTGCTCCATTGCTTGTCACTGGAATACCTTGTTTAAATTGATATTTTGTTTACTTTTTCGAGAGTTTTAAAATCATCAAGGATTCTTATTCAATAATTCAATATGATAATATAATAAAAAGGATGATAAAGTCATCATGGCGTGTAACATCAATACATCTACTTACAATATATGTAAAAGTATTGATGGAGAAGCTAGTATAATGTACAAAGACTATCTGTATATAGATTATTATGTAAGTTAAGTGTATTGTACAAAAAATAATGTTCGAAATGATAAGAATATGAATAAAATATTCATGATGATGATGATGCTAATTGATGATAGCTATATAACGATTGTGATAATATTGTTAAAATTATTTTTGACTTTTCAACCGAATCAGCACACGTATAAGCTATTTATGTTGTTACTTAAATGCGGCATGTAGTTTTCAATTGTTGACAACTTTATATTTATGCGTTTTATTTAAGATTTCTATCTTGATTTATATTCAATTCTTTTCTATATTGTACATAAGTATATGTAAATGAAATTAATATACGTGAATTGAATTAAAAATGGCGACTATATACACGATATGAATATTTATGGAATTCTGAATTTTATTAATGTTTTTGTTTTGAAATTCGGTGTGAATTTCTAACAAATAAAAAATGTTCTATAATTCACGCAAGAAGTAATTTCTATATCTTGCAATTTCGGTACAAAATCCTTGATTATCATGTCGCGATAGCGAGGAAGCAAGCACCATTAACCGTAATTGTCTGAGTGCAGCTGCATCTTTGAAAAGTAATGGTCCGCTAATATATCGAACCCAAAATCGGCACCAAACAGTGACACTTTGTAAATGCATTTATTTCTCAACAACCACTTTTGGATTTTCTTAACCCCAAATGCGACAATTTTGCCGATTAACAAAGCAATCAAAACCAAATGAGCCTCATCGCTGAAGATAATTTTGTTCGAAAAACTTTCATTATTTACAAAATATTGCTCAACACCAAAATGCGTTGTTCTTTTGTGTAGCGCTCTATTTTTAATAACCCTGAATTGTCAGCTGTCACACTGTATTTTTTTTTATTTGGTTGGTAACACATTGCGTAAATTTTATGACACTTTTAAATGTAAAATGCAAAAGCTCTATTTAAAATTTTATTATAAAATTTATAAATTTTATTGGAATTTTTAATTATTAATTTAAATTTTTTGTTTTTCTTACAATAGTTTCAGACAAATCATCATCATTATGTTTAACAAGCTATGGATTAAGTGATAGTTTAAGGACAACGAGTAAATGTACTTCAGGTGAGTCCTTTACTTTCAAATTTAATTTTTTATTTTAAAATCAAATTCAGAATCCTCCTGTTATACTTGATATACTTGATCAAAATGCAAGGATTTTTTCAATATTAAAGAATGAGTCAAAATTATTTGTGTTTGTAGGTTGATATTTTTAAAATTCTGACACAAATTTTTTATAATCCTTCATAGGTTTTCGTTAATTTCATAATATTATAAAGAAAATATCCTGTTATTATCCTGGTCATTATAATTTTTTCTAATAGCAATTAAAAATTTTCTATTTTTCTATTATTTTCTTTCGATAATTTAATGGTATTTTTTGAAATGAAAGAAAAAAGAGCTTAAATTAACACTCTTAAAGGTGTGCCTAAATAAATTAGTATGGAAAAGAAAAATACCGGAAATTTTTTCTTTATTCTTGTTTTTCCTTTTTCTAGTTTTGGTCGAATTTTTTTTTTCGTTTTTCGTAAATGATGTAATTTCATGTAAATTGTTTTTTTTTGTTTTTGGTTCCTCTGCTCCACAAAAATAAATTATTATTAGTTTTTTTTTTTTCATCATGTCCACTTCATTTAAATATGATCCTATAGTGTTAAGAAATGAGGGCTAATAAGAAATAATTCTAGTGTGTGAAAAATGGGCGGATTGCCTAAAAGATTTTTTCTTTTTATGTTTCATTTTTTCGCTTTAATTTATTAATCTTGTATGAAAGGATGGTTTAAATATTAAAGTTGGAAAAGTCGAAGAGTGTAATAAAAAAAGAAAAGGACAAAAAAAATTTACATAAATTCTAAATGTTACGAACGCCTAACGGAAAAAAATAATTTTTCTTTTAAAAAAGAAAAAAAATTATGAGGGAAAAATTAAAATTAAATTTTTTTTTTCCTTTTTCCATATGCAAACACTCTTGTGTAGTTAATTATTATTTTTTTATAGTAATTTTTAGGAATGAACTTAATACTATAATAAAAGTCTAGTTCGTTGACTATAGCATTTAAAGCAGATTTACTTACCCCGGATAGATCGATATACGCCGGATGTGATGAACTGTAATAAATCAAGAGAAAAGCTAGCAAAGTGACTATTGTCGAATTCTTATGAAAATTTTAAGAGAGGTATATCGATTGGGAATGATCAATTAAGAGTAAACAATAACATGTGGTTTATAGATTACAGCATTATTTATGAGCTATAGTGCCCTCCTCATATTATCAAGCATGTGTTATATCAATTTTCACGTTCGAATCCGAAAATTGAACAAAAATTAATCACTAATCAAATTTTTTCAAATTATTTCCTTCGTATGATACCGATATATCAGGACAGTAACAAAGAAAGTGTATTGCAGTCGTCCCATCGTAACACTATAACAGAACTAAATACACTCTCCATAGTCAAGAGAAAATTTTAGAGTACGATCTCTGACCTTCTACAACAAAATCTAACAGTTTTGAACGATGGCTCAAAGGGGCTAAATATAAATCCCAGCAAAAACACTTTAGTTGCCTTCACTAGACGTACGAGCAGGTAACGATTCACCAAACCCACTCTGTTTGGTGAACACATTGCGTACTCCAAGAAGGTTAAGTATTTGGGAGTAACTTTAGAAAATCGTCTCTTCTGCAATACTCATATAGATAGGGTCATCAGAAGAGTAATGACAGTCTTCTGGAATGTAGGAGTTTTCTTTGTAAAATTTGGAGCATGAGCCGTATGATAGCACTATGTTTATAGTTTTTACGGCTTTTGCTTGACCCGTCGTCACCTATGCGTCCATAGTGCGGTACTACAATTTTACCCCCATTCTCGAGACAGCTATCTTGGACGTCTGTCTCTAGTGGTACAACTTTGATCTTAAATTCGAAGTAGTGTTTCTTAATCGATGCGTATTGGGACAATGAGGTCCAGCATTTGAAATTGGTTCTGGTGCTTGGTATACTAATGCAATCAAAACTGATTCAGTTGTGTGCTCGAATTGGTGGAGCTGTCATCAGCAAAGAGAATGGCGCTCATTTAGTTGTCGAGGCATGTTCTGTGTGACTTTTCTGTTCTGCAAACAGAAGGTGAAGATGTTTTGGGCGTGGTTTTCTCAGTGTTGGGAAGCTCACATTCAACACCCTGGAGGATATCTCTAAGTACTTGCTTTGGACCGGGGTACTTGCTTTGCTTTTATAATTAAGAGCAATAATGATAAAATTAAATTTTCATCCTAAAAACTAAAACACCTTTTACAAGATTATAGGCAATCAAGTTTACGATTCCGGTTCATACAATCACATATGTAAATATGAATATTATTTGTCCTTCACTTCTTAATAACGAATTACATAAGAGTGTGTTAAAATTAATTATGTATTTACATTATAGATGGGGTAATAATGTAACTATAAAACTTATTGTTATTTTTTGCTTTAAATACGCCTATATAAATTTAATAAATTGCTTTTAAAATAAGGTACTACATCGTATAGAAAGGGTTAATTTTATTAATAATTTAATTTTCTATTTAACAATTTATTTTTATAAAATATTTTTTTTTATTATTTTTACTTACTGTTAATAAAATATTAATTAGGCCTAATATTATCCGGTTTTCTTCAGACATACTATGTATATATATGTATGTATAGGTATACTGAATTCTGAACACGAATAATATTAGAAAATAATGATCGTAATCAAAATTTTCAAAAATTCATTTGTGATTCTTATCATAAATTTTAAATCAAAAGAAATAATTAACGCTATAAAAGAAATTAATTTTACGTATATTTGCAAAAATTATATTTAAATTTATAGAATTAACGGTATTTCTTAGTAAACCGTTATAAGTATTAAAAAGAGCACTATACAAATTGTTAAAGCTTTTAAAAGGAAACAAAAACTATACAGAAAATTTAATTTTGCGCTCATAAAAAGAGAAAAAGCTTATTTTTCTGTGTATTCCATTTCATGTCGTGTGTGTGTATGTTATATGAACAAGATATATATTTGTACATATTATGTATATATTTTGCTTTTGTAATGATATACTTTATGTTTATGCGCATGTATTCATTTTTTAGCAGAAAATCCAACCATTTTTTTTAGTGGCATTTATTTTAGACATTCACCCACTAATTTTAAATAATAATATATAGTTACAGAAAAATACAATAGAGGGTACTGTAATATGAAGTGGCAAATATTAAATATACCTATCCAAGAGTGTATAAGAATGTTTTTGTACGTTGCTTCCTTTAGTTACGAATTAAGTTAGAAGGACGTTATGAGCACTGGCAGTGTAAAAGGTAGTGAAAGACTGTTTTACTGTCAAGGGTTACTGTACTGTACTCTTAAACGTTCTCTAACAAATTTCCGTTCTACTCAAAACATTCTCTAAAAACCCATGTTTAGACAGCAAATAATGCTAATTTTAACTTAAATCATAGCATAGGAATATCATAGGAATCAAATCCTGCTTAAACTTAAATCTTAAAATAATTGTTAATTTACTAATTTATTTAGATCTTAGTTTAATACAAAAAAACATGTATTCTTTCCATTCAACCATTATTCACTCATAGATCACTATATTGTAAAAATATTTTAACAACCGATTACAAAACGATATACAAAATGAAATTTTTTTTTAGTCTTTTAAATAACAATAAGAAAGAGTATAGAAAAATCAAAGCTAATGTTTCGGATAAAAATTTATCGCGCGTAAAAATTACAACAACAACAATAACAATCAAAATTCTATTAAATATAAAATGGGTTTGTATAAATGTTCACGTACATTTCTAAAGTCCAAAATTGTATATATATACCTTTGCTGTGCAGAACGTTATCCGAATATACCCAATATTAGAAATGACAGATTGCTTTCATAAAATATTCTCATGACTAAATGCGAATAAAAATAACAAAATAACTAATTGCCATACTACATCGGAATATAACGGAGAAAATGAGAAGAACAGGGAAAAAAGAAAATGTATTTTTTTATCGTAAATTATCCTTCAGTTCAACGAAGAGTAAATATTTTTTAGAGAATGCCTCTTTTATTTATGAATAACATTTTCCACCCCATCTTTTATCAATCCTTTGCATAAAATAGGAAAAAAATTTTTTTTTTGTTTTTGGTTTGCTGAGGCCAATTTCTTTTTTTTTTTGAATTATGAAAAAAAGAGGCTAACTAGCTTGATTGGGTACTAAGAAACATTATACAAATTTAAAAATTTTCTGTCCAAATATTATGTGTGCTTGAAATCAGTTAGCCAAATTATTGTAGAGCAGCAATGGGAAACAATTTTTTGCTTAGATTTCAAATTTCGTAAATTTTTTAACAAAAATATATAGGTGACGGCTATGGGTACTCTTAGGCTTGAACGTAATTTCTATGCCGCGATTCCGTTTACTGTGATACAATTCATAATAATTTTGAATTAAGGTTGCCTTCGACACAATTAAAACATTAAATAATGAATTTAAAAAAAAACTGGTGCCCAATGTTGGGATAAATACTTACTGAAAAAATTCATCTCAGAATTGGAGCTGCAGTTCAAATATAAAATAAAGGATTAAAGAAAAAAAACTGTAACTGGCGCCCAATGTTGGGACCCATGCTAATAAATTTCAAATCATAAATTAATATCATGTACATTAAATTTAATAGCAAAAAAGTAACTGGCGCCCGATGTTGGACCACATACTAATAAAGTTCAAATTATGTGCGTTTAATTTAATAGCAAAGAAAGCGATGTTCATGCCGTAATTTAAATTTTATAAGGACAATATTGCAAGCGAATCAAAATAGAGACAAAAAGTTCCTTATAGCAAAGCAAACAATATTTGAATTTTTAGCATTAACTATGTATTACATTATCCGCATTTTAATTGCTCGTAATAATATTCATTGCGTCCCCACAAACATTGAGTTTGCAATGCCTGTCCTTAAAATCAATTTTTTTAAATACAAATTCATATTTCTTATTTAAAAGTTAAAAATAATCATTATATTTTTTTTTTCTGTTGTATCATCGTTCAAATACAATCTAAGGCCATACAACATGAACCTAATCAACATTT